ACACGGCCGCCCGGCCGCCGTGCGTATAGCCATATTGAGTCGGCCACACGGCCGCCGTGCGTATAGTCACTCTCGTAAACATTGGCTCCCGAAGCGAGTTTTTTTGCCAAAATGTTTACTGAATTCTTATCCACACGGCCGCCGTGCGTATAGTCACTTCAATATAGGCCATAATAAGTTGTCACTGAAGTTCCTAGTTTCTTGTTCATATCGATCGTGTAATCACAGGCCCTTGGAGGCTCAAGTTTCAAGAAGAGTATAAGAGCGAAGCGGGGTATTATATATACCGCTTCGCTCTTATACTCTTGTTGAAACTTGAACCTCCAAGGGCCTGTGCATGGTGTACGTAATGCACGCGTGGGCGCGTATGTGTGCGCACGTCCGTGCGTGGGTGTACTAGATAATAATGAACCATGCAGGTAATTATCGCTGCGGGGGCTGATACTCACTAAATTCATGAAACAATAGAATGACTAAGAAACATTGTAATAGAATATATAGGGATGAGCACATATTCAAATTATTATCTGTAAAAATTACATGGCAGCTGTATGGACTCAACTGATTTTGTTATAGTGGAAATCACATATATCACCAGGAGTGAATAAAAGCAAACGTTTGTTTTTATTCAATCCTGATATTATATATACATATATCTATGTTCACTAACTGTATTTATGATCACAATGTAAACGAAGTGTGTGTGAGCATATAGCACACACAGCAAGGCCTTTGGGTGAAGCCCTTATTGGGTGGAGTCCAGGAGCCCACCCTAGGGCCCCTGGCGGGGTGCAGCAGTAGAGCCCTAGCTAGCCCGGGATCTAGGGGGCGGAGCCCCCCGGAAGCTCTTAGTTTTTAGCAATAGACCCAAAAATTTCTTAGACACCACAAACAGTTTGCGGACCTAAACAATTCTTAGCCACCACAAACTGTTTGTGGACGCAAAAAAATTCTTAGCCACCACAAACAGTTTGTGGACCTAAAAGTTTCTTAGCCACCACAAACAGTTTTTGGACCAAAAAATTTCTTGGCCACCACAAACAGTTTGTGGACCTTAAGGTTTCTTAGCCACCACAAAAAGTTTTTGGACCTAAAGATTTCTTAGCCACCACAAACAGTTTGTGGTCCTAAAATTTTTTTAGCCACCACAAACAGTTTGTGGGCCTAAAAAAGGCAGGGGTAATACCTCTCCTCATACATACCTCCCCCTCTCTCTCTCCTCTATCTATCTATCTATCTTTTTATCTATCTATCTATTTATCTATCTATCTATCTATCTATCTATCTATCTATCTATCTATCTATCTATCTATCTATCTATCTATCTATCTATCTATCTATCTATCTATCTATCTATCTATCTATCTATCTATCTATCTATCTATCTATCTATCTATCTGTCTGTCTGTCTGTCTGTCTGTCTGTCTGTCTGTCTGTCTGTCTGTCTGTCTGTCTGTCTGTCTGTCTGTCTGTCTGTCTGTCTGTCTGTCTGTCTGTCTATCTTGTCTGTCTGTCTGTCTGTCTGTGTGTCTGTCTGTCTGTCTGTCGGTCTGTCTGTCTGTCTGTCTGTCTGTCTGTCTGTCTGTCTGTCTGTCTGTCTGTCTGTCTGTCTGTCTGTCTGTCTGTCTGTCTGTCTGTCTGTCTGTCTGTCTGTCTATCGATAAATAAATAAATTATCAAGAGCTAATAATACCTATTCAGTTTGATGCTATTTAGAGATATTGTTAGCTCTTGAAATTATTACTATATCTTTCTTTTTCTTTCTCGCCCTGTCTCTCACGCGCTCTCTCTTTCTTTCTTTCTTTCTCTCCCCATTTCCTGCCCCCTTTCTCTCCAACTCAAACAATTTTATCTCACCCTCCATCTCTTTTCCCCTCGAGTATCATTAAGCACGCATAATACCATACTAGTATCACGAGCGATTTATAATATATATGGTGTACAGAATGCAATATAAGATTACGAGTTCACTATTTTACACGGAGGCTGGCACGAACACAGTAGCCCCTTATCAATACTTACATCGAAATTATATCTGTATGAAATAAAAACCCAGTAAACTTAATTCAACTCAGATAATATAAAGTAACCGCCCAAAAGGACACTCGTTTAACCCGATCGATCCGTTGGTGCTGTTACGGTTGGTGCCGTTAGTAGCCGGTGGGCGCAAATGATCTCACAGCAACTGAATAATAGGCGTGTTCGTAAAACGCATGAGCAGTTGTAAGCTGTTGCAAGTCGAGGTTGTTGCGCGAGTGACTCATACGAGCCGTAGAGGATGAATAATATGTAGTCTGCTATTTATGTCTACATGCGGACGCAGTGATTTAGGAAAAACGTTCCTCAACGGAAACTTTCAAACCCTGTGACATGTTCATTGGTTGCATAACGTAGGCTACTCGCGGCCCGGCAGACGCTTCTGCCACGTGATGTCTCTCTACGATCTGCGCGACCTCCGTATTGGACATTTCAAACGAAAAAGGTGGAGACAGAACGAGTTCCCTGACAACACGACCGTTTAACGTGTACGCTACAGACGAGTGCGTCACTAGACGAGTGCGTCACTCCACACATACCTATAAAGCCTGTAAACTTTTGCAAGGCTTCCATTCCAGCTGCCAAGTGTAGACGGAACACCTGATGAAATCGCAATCCCGGTAAAAGGATACTCAGGTAAGTCGTAGTGTACGTAATTGCGATTACGTATGAGAATAACTTCATTGTTTTCGGGTTTAACACATATTATATGAAACGACACATTATCTCTCTATATGTCACTCCGTCTCTCCTCCATCCCTTTTCCTCTCTTACTACCTGTTGTTCCGCGTGCGGTGTCTCTCTCGCTCGTTATCGCTCTCTCTCCCTCTCTCTCTCTTTCTCTCTCTCTCTCTCTCTCTCTCTCTCTCTCTCTCTCTCTCTCTCTCTCCCACCTATCAGCTCCTCCAGCCAGTCTGTTTTACCGTCGCCCTCTCTTCCTCCTCCCTCTCTCTTCATCTCCGCCCCCCCTCTCTCTCTGTGCCCCTTTCTCTCCACCCCCTCTCTCTTCCTGGGCTTGCATGTTGCGCATGTGGCGTAGCTGCCATTAATCGACTGCAGTCGTAGACGTCTACTTGCACAGCTGTAACTACGCCCAGATCCAATCAGCTGCCGAGTAAGGAAGTACTAGAGCCGAGTCGAGCGACAAGATACACAGGGAAGAGAACGAGCATCGCGAGCAACAACGAGCACGATGAGTGGTAAGTGAAAAGTATGCGTGTTTACTGCCATGCCTCGCCCGTTCAATCCAAATCCGCCCCATCTAAACGCCTCACGCGCTACCCGGAGGCTGGATCGAGTGTATGACTGTATGTATTTATGGTGTAATTGGCAATGCGGATGATTGCATGTGTTTGATGCGCCCGTGTTTACGTTTTCAGACCTGACAATGTATAGCCAGAGTCTGAGAGATACCAACATCGCATTGAAGTTAATATCGCCGCCCTCTCTTTACGATGTTAGCGAGGTGTCTACGATTTGATTCGTATACAATATATTGTGTATATACTACACATTTTTAATTGCTTTAACTACGTACTGCAACTAAACACGTTTTGTAACATGCGAAGGTCCTTTATTCGTAATTATCTATGTTGCACGTGCGCACTGAATGCTGCTTGTATACAAACTAACGACCGTGACATTGTGGGTGTGTTAGACACGGACACGCGCTCTTGTCGTCGCGTACTTACGATATATGTGATCGATATCGTCAGAAACCTCGCCACTGGCAGCATAATCCCGACCAACAGACGTAAAAATTGGGTCGCGTCGTTAATTGTATAACGTAATGTATAATTGACATAATTACGTGACACGCATACCTATAGCTATCTGTATACGTAAACACAATGTATGCATATATGTTAATATATACTATATTATATATATAGGGCCTATATATATATATATATATATTACATCATATGATTCTATTAAGCTATTAGCTATAGCTAGCTAGTTAGTTAGTTATGTATTTATTTATTAGAACGTGCGTGAATTTAGGTCCAGGCGATAGTATGATGGAGGACGCGTTGTAGATATTGATCGGAACACATCTTTCAGTGTGTGATGACTCATACGCCCTCGCGCGACAATTACAATACAGCTCTAGCGTTCGTATAGGCAGGGGCGGATCCAGGGCTGAAACTAGACAGTATTTTTCCAGATTTTAAGGGCACATCCCCCCCAAAAAGCACACCACCCCACAGTGGGCGCTGTTAGGCGCGGAAGCACATGGCGGGGGGTCTGGGGGGCCTCCCCCAGGAAATTTCAAGGGTCCCTGGGCACAAAAATGAGCACCATTTGAACACACATTTAGTCAAGCAGCAATAGCTAAAAACCATATGGAATTTTATTTCTGCTTCATTTTGCCTGCACTTTGTATACCAGCAATTAATGCAGAATGATTCAAGCACTTCCCTTCTCTTTCAGATATCAAAGCTAGTTTTGTTACCATGTACAATTTTGATCGCCTTCAAGTCCTGTCAATGAATCAGAAGAAAAAGAAAACAAATCAAGAATATAGCCAAATTCCATCAAATTGTTTTCTGTACTTTTTAGCGCAAAAATTCGAAGGGCACTTTATCTAGAAATCTAGACCGTATTTCCCAATACGGCAAATACGGTCTGAATCCGCCCCTGGTAGGAACCATTTCATTTATAGGAATTTAAACGTTTTAATTTAATATCGCTGTAGCACAATTTCATGCATTGTAATTAGTTTACACGACAATTACAATACAGCTCTAGCGTTCGTAGAAAGCATTTCATTTATAGCAATTAATCGTTTTCATTTAATACCGCTGTGGCACCATTTCATGTATTGTAATTAGTTTACACGCAAACACGCATTGAACTGGAGCGCATGTAATCGAAAAACGGGATGCGTAAAGAAGGGATCCCCGATTGTCGAGTGCACGCCTGATCGTCTGTTCACAGATGACATGGCGATCAGCACCAAGCCGAGTGGCGCCGCGTTTGAAGTGATACTGGCGCCACCGCATTCGGACCCGCCCGGTAAACTGCAGGAAAGGCCTCACTCATCTACTCCCCTCAGCGCAGAGCAGCTCGAAAGCAGGCTGCAGGCAGCCGAGGAACGTAGGAAGGTATGGGGGAAGCACATTGGATCAATAATCATCGATCTATATGCCGCGCGATGTACGTGCGCAGCGTATGTCCGAGATGGTTCGGCCGTTGAACCGTTGAATCACGCCTATACGGTTATTCCCAGGGGCCGGTATGACTCATCGCGATAGAAACTCGTATTTGAATAACGATTCTCAGTTCACATTTCTCACTCTGCTCTTATATATATATATATATATATATATATATATATATATGTGTAGTATATATATATGTTGT